CAAGGGTACAGATAAAAAGTAGAAAATGGCCAAAATATTTGTCTCTGCAGATAATTTAAAGGAAACATGAAAATGATGTACAAATAACTGGCATCTAATTGACGTTTGATTTCCCAGATGGATCTTATGGAACTGTTTAGAATCCCCATTTTTAGTTCTCTTTGTTATTAATAAAATTGTCATTTGGTCAAAATTGGTCTGTAAAAAGATACATTTAGATTCCATATGTAGTCTTAGTAGTAGATTTGTCTAACTGGAGTTTATTGGTGCAGAATAAAACAATGCAAATGATGTATGAGACAATCTACACAGCTTTAGAAGAGACTGGACTTGAGAAGACACATGTCCCACAAGACTACTTGAATTTTTTCTGCCTTGGCAATCGTGAGGCTCAAGATGTAAATGACACTTCATGTGGTGGAAATACTACTGTTGCTAACAATCCTCAAGTAAATTCTCTTCTATCCCTTTCTTTTCCCTTATCAAAAATCACTTAGTCTCTACTCATTTTTGCTTGTTTGATGTTTAAACTGGGTTAAAATGCATGAACTTATGACCTTTTGCAACCTTGAAGTGGTTCAATGTTGAGTCCAGTTTGCTGATGTTGCACTAGCTGTTTTGGTTGTATAACTTTCAAAATGAATTCCGTGAGTGGTCACAGTATGACTCAAAGCACATGATTTTCTTCAATTCTTTTTAACTTAAGTTAGGTGCATATTTGTTAATTAGGCACGCACCCAGAAGAGTCGACGCTTCATGATCTATGTTCATTCCAAAGGCATGATAGTAGATGACGAGTATGTGATATTGGGGTCTGCAAACATCAACCAGCGCTCCATGGAAGGCACTAGAGACACCGAGATTGCAATTGGCGCCTACCAACCCTCACATACATGGGCTAGAAATATGTCCAGTCCAAATGGTCAGGTAAAATAACCTTTTCATTATTATATAACAAACTGCACCCTGCATCTCGTTCCCATATTGGAGATGCCTCAGGATTTAAATCCTCAATTCATTGTACTCAAATAAACTCAACTTAACAAAGCCTTAACCTCAGATATTTGGGGTTTGTCCTCTATTGGGGCTACAGCTAAGTCATTTTTATGGGCTTAATTATTTATAATTCTCTTTCCTAATCTTGTTATTCATTCATCCTAGCATCCTCATTTCAGCCATACTTATTTAATTTCTCAATTTACTATATTTAGCATTGTTTAATTTCTTGATTTCCTTATAGATGTTTTACCTAAGAGAGATATTACTTGACTGGGTCCGCCTGGTATATGCATTTGTTAGATCCATGGATACAGGATGTCCCTGTGGGCAGAACATATTGGAACTATTGAGGAATGCTTTAAACAACCAGAGAGCCTCGAATGTGTTAGGCGGGTTAGATCTCTGGGTGAGCTGAATTGGAGTCAATTTGCATCTGATGATGTTACAGAGATGAAGAGTCACCTCCTAAAGTACCCGGTTGAAGTGGACCCCAAGGGCAAAGTGAACCCTCTTCCTGGATGTGAAACTTTTCCCGATGTGGGAGGGAACATAGTGGGAACTCCTTTTGCCATTCAAGAAAATCTTTCTGTGATATTACCTAAACAAGAGAATCTTACTATCTGACCCTCAGGCATGGAGACATTGACCAGTACAATTGACATTGATTCAGAGAAAGTTCAGAAGCAGCTACACAAGTTAGGTTCATACGTTTTGCTTAGTTTGTGTTTGTAAAAGGCTTTCCAGCCAGTTATTCATACAACAATGTCACTTGGGCATTTCAGTTGATAAGGGTGCAGCCCCAACTCGGTTTGTCAGGTGCTGTATATATATGCATCAAATACATTTCTAAAAGGTCCTAAGATTTTCAGTTATGCAAGCCTCACAATCTGAGATTTATTCCATTTTCTTGAACTAGATATATACTGATCCCAAAGTACTACTGTTCCTATGCTATTGCCTCAGCTAGAACCTTAGAGCATGTAGAAACCAGTTTTTTTAAGATAAAATTTATTAATGCCAAAAAGAAGAGTACAAGAAAGGTGACCATTGGTCACCTAAGAGAAGAAATATAAAAGAAAAACAGTAAAACAACCCTTCATACCCACTCACAACTCCAAGTCCAATAGGCTTTCACCTAAGGAACCATTCAACTTAAAAGCTTAAGCTGTTAGATAATAAATACCTTTTCAGGGACCTTACCTAACAGCTTAAACTTTAAGGTTGAACGATTCCTTGAGATAGTATCAAAGAATGTTTGATCAAGTGGTCTAGTGTTTGATCCTTGTTGCCCCCATATTTAATTAAGTTTCAGCACAAGATATGGGTGGAATTGTATTTGTCGTTTCAAGCCAAATAAGCTTATGCATGAGGGTGTGTTCAGAATAAAACCTATTCAGGGGCCTCAACTAACAGCTTAAGTTTTTAGGTTTAATGGTTCACTAGAGAGAACTGTAGGGGATGAGAATGAGAGGGGGGAATCTTCACTTCAGGGATCTCTTCCTCTTTTATATAATGTTGTCCTTTACTAGATTATTCTCTAGAATTCTTCACATTTATAGTTATGCCATAAGTGCCAATTGTTAGCCACTAATCAAATGGCTACTTCCTGACCTAAGTTAGACCAGACCAGCTTGAGATGGGTTAGACCGAGTTTGCAGTCTAACAGATATGCTCCCACAACCACAATGTATTATTAATAAAAAAAATATGGGCATTTGGCAAGTCTTTTTGTGTGGTCTTTCAGGCTTTTTAAAGCTTGGAAGACCAAAATTTGGTCTTTCTTTATGTGGCAATGAAAGATAAGAAACCAACAAGACATATGCCCTAATTATCGCAGAAGCCTAAAATGTTCAAAAATCTGGAAACTTCAAGTGAAACTTTCTGTCTTTTTGCACCTAAAATCATTCATTTAACAATTCTATAGACCATGGTAGGCAGATCTAGATCTTTAAAGACAAGCCCTCAAAAGTTCATTACATCTTTTGGCCATCTAGGTTGTCAGATCTTTGTAAAAAGACTTACCAAATAGACAACTTAATATTAGATAATAGGGGTGGCAATTTCTCACCCAACCCACCCATTTACTTGGCAGGTTGGAAATGGGTTGATCACCCATTGGGTCAATTTAAATGGGTTGGGTTGGGTTGTGTTGTGGATAACCATTGGGTTAACCACTAAAGATACAAGTATTAATTCCTTAGTTTTTTTTTTGTATTTTCTTCATTTGAGTGAAATAATTTATAATTAATGTATTAATTTTCTATTAATTATTGACTAAAATTAGTTTTGCCTCAAATCAACACACTTCACCCAAATCAACATAAATCCCAATCAACCTGACCTGAGACCGAACCAGTTCAACTCGATTAAATATGAACAGACCCGATCACCTTGGTTCATTTCATTTGTGTCGGTCAGCCCAATCCAAACCCAACCTGATTTAGATCAGCTTGATTAGGATCGTCCTGAATCCGAAACAGAACCGGATGGGTTGGTTTGGTCTGGACCAAGTTTGATCCAACCCTAAAATCTGGCCCGCTTGCTTTAACCTAGTCCGGATAACTCGATCCAACCTGTATCTACACAACCCGATCCAAATTTGGCCAGACCCGATTTACTCCCCTTGACTCGCTTTAGACCAGTTGGTTTGGTCCCAAACCCATGCACAACCTGATATGGGTTGGTCCAAGTCAATCCACCATTGACTAAACTATTATAGTCCGGTCTGACCGGACTGATCCGAATCCAAATGGTTCAACCACTCTTAATGTGATTAGCTCAAAGACAATCCAATTAGATAGTTCAAGTTGGTCTAACCGATTTGAACCTAAGTGGTTCAATCAAACCTGAAACCCAAATATAGTTAAATGGTTTCACCATTTGTGTAAAAATGACATGCATGTAATGTGATTTGAATTTTCACCACTTGTGTAAATAACAACTACTATTACCACCAAGTTATAACCAACTCATTTGTCAAATAAGAGTTAGTTTTTTTTTTTGTTTTAAGTACATAAATAAAAGATTAATGGTTTTGGGCGGTTTGGATTGGGTCAATGAGGGTTTAGGTTGAACTCAACCCATTTAATTTTATATAATTAGGTCATTAATAGGGTGGTGGGCTAAATTGATTGGGTTGAACCTCAATCCAAACTAAACCCGCCCAATTGCTACCGCTAATTAGATATCATAAATAAAATAATTGAAAATAACTTTTATGAGACTTGAACTTACAACTCTTTATTACATATACAACATTTAAATCAACTTACGGATAGATAGATCTATAATTTTGTGTAGATACAAACACATGTAAATGTTTAAATATTATATGATTGTATTAAATTTTATAATCCTATTTGCTTCAATTATATCTACATGAAATTGAATTAGAGTACATGCAAATTTGCTTCGATTATAAAGAATGAAATCTGAATCACTTTAATCTAATGGTATTGGAATTTAAATTCAAAAGCAACTCTAAGGCTGCATTTGGTTTGTAGAAGTGAAAGACAAAAAAAAAAAGAAAAGAATATTCTCAAATATGTTCCCTATCTCAAAACTAATTTACATAATCATTAATCATTAATTACTTATATATACGATATACATTTTAGAAACTAAACTTTTAAAATCAATTTATATTGACCGGCCCCGAATAAAGACAACCTCTTTCATTGCACCGCCACCGCTTAGAATCATTAACAGTACACTCCAAAAAAAATTATAATACCAAAATTACCTTTAAATCTTCAAAAAATTGGTAAATCCTTCTCTCTTCTTATTGTCCCCGAACAAACTAGAGCAACAATCCCCAACTATAGATAGAAAACGATAAAAAAACCTTTTTGTCTTCCATTGTATAATGGGCTTGTTTTGCAGTTGAATTTGTGAGCATGTGTGTGGAGATAACAATGTAGTGGGCCCTTATATGTGGTCCACTGACTCTACTGGCACTCTCCCTTTGCCATTATCTTAATGAGGAAATTGGATTTGATTTGCTCCTTAGGCTCCATTTGGAAGGAGTATAAATACAAATGTATAGAGCGTAAAACCTTATATTTTGTATGTATTTATACTATATATTTGTATTTATACAATATAAATACATATTAAATAGTACAAAATGCAAGGTTTTGCACTGTACATATTTGTATTCATACCCTTTTCAAATTGAGCCTTAAGAGTGTGGCACAAACCAACCTCACAACACATAAGAGCCATGTATCAGCCGTGCATTGAGAACATCTTTCCATGAAGGACAACATCAAGTACGAGAAGTTCTCAATTCACGGCTGAAAATGCTGTAACCAGGGAGTGAGGTGTGCTCTCTGAAGAGAAAATCCGGATTCTTGTCTGAAAGGTTTTGAACAGCAGAAGCCTCTCTCTCTCAACTACTATGTTTTCCTTCTTTGAGATTGGTATTGGCCCTATTGGTAGTTCAACTTTACTTTAGTTAGATGTGTAACTTGTTTAAACATATTGTGGGCCCGTTTGGCTTGCAGGAATAGGGATCTCGAATCGGAATGGGCCATTCCAATTTCAACTGTATGGTTGGGTGGAATCAGTCTCATTCTGGTGGAATGACATTCTCTCATTTGAGGGGAATGGCCATTTCTTCCCCCTATCATTCCAATTCCGATTCTAGAAAATTCTGATTCCCATTCCAAACTCCTGTTCCCACGAACCAAATGAGACCTAAGTTTTTTTAACGAAAAAAAAAAACTCGCATTAAGGAAACAATATGAAAAGGGGATGAAATCTGGTTTAATATCTTTGTTATTGCCATCAGACTGCTTCATATCTGCAGGGTTTTCTACATTATTGTGACTACTACTGCTGGTGCTGGTATACTACTGTTAGGGTTGTGCTTTTGGTTTGTTTTAAAATGAACATTAATTATACTCGACATTTATCATAATCTGTTATAATAATAATTTGGAATAAAAATGATAGTAAATAATAAATTGTTTTAGGTTGATAAAAAATGTTTTTAACCAAAATTATTTTTACCAAAAAACCAAAATTATCTTATAAACTGTTTATGAAATTTACCCTTTTAAACATAAAACATAATAAAAATTATAAGAAAACCAGGAGACTTCTATATACTATTAATTATATAATCATTCTGAAACAAAAAAAAAAAAAACTGGTCCTGACCCAATTATTAATTGGGACACAAACTAAGGCTCAGTTTGGAAAGAGTACAAATGCAAATATGTACAGCATAAATACATACAAAATATAGGGTTTTGCACTTTACATATTTGCATTTGTACTCCTTCCAAATTCAGTTTATGAAACAAGTACCATTTTATTTCCATTTACCACCATAATTTCTTTGATTTATTGAAAATAGAGTTCGGCAGCATGGCATTATAATTTATTTACAGTTGATCAATTTAATTATTGGTATTATAAACATGGTAGCCAATCAGGGGTTATTTATCAAAATTCATGGGTGGATTTTGATTGATCAAAACTCTTTCTTTTCTTTCTTTTTTTATGCCACGATTGGTCAAAAACTCTTTTGGTATCATGTCTTTTCCACATCATAGATTTTTCCTTATTCAAAAAGGATCAATTAGTTAGGCTCAATTTGAAAAAAAGCACAAATACAAATATGTACAGTACAAATACATATAAAACAATACGAAGTACAAGATTTTACACTCTACATATTTGTATAATTATATTTGTACTCTTTCCAAACTGAGCCTTATGGGTAAGACTTGCTGGGTAAATAGTTGGTAAATTAATTCCCGAGTCAATGACCCACCAATCAGTGGGGTGGCCGGTTCTCCATTCTTCCCGGCTGCTGCTCCAAATTTCTTTTCCCACGGCAAATGGGGAATAGTCTATCTGG